CGCGAGCTGCTGGGGCAGGAGTTACCCCACCTCGAGTTCCCCCGCAGGATCCAACCCAAGGAGCTGGGGAGGAAGATGCTGTACAGAGACCAGGACATGAACGGCTGGTAACCCCTAACCTACCTCATGGGCTCTGTGCTGAGGGGCAGTGCTGGGGTCCTGCTCTGCCTGGATCAGCATCACTCCCATGGGAAGGAGGGCTCTGGCACGCTGGGTACTTGGGTCTTGAGTGGTCCTTGTCGCTGGGGATGCTGTGTCCTGAGCAGGCAGGGGAGGTGCTGGAAGCCTTCTGCTGACATGTTGTCTCTGACTTATTTTAACCAGGGCTTACAAAAAGATAGAAGAGGATGACCTGAAGTTTCCACTTATCTATGGGGAAGGAAAAAAGGTGAAGTGCTGTGGCAGGAGCTACATGGGGGTCACTTCCCAACTGCCCTTTCTGAATCTGGGGGTTTCTGGCCTGTTTCTGGCCTGTTTCTCGTAGTGCTGTCACCACAGCAAAGCCACCAATTCTCAGCTGGGAATGGAGGCGGAGATGAAGCAGCTTGAAGCTTTCCTTCTATTTCACTGTTCTCTAGGCTCGGGTGATGGCCACGATTGGAGTGACGCGGGGTCTGGGCGACCATGACCTCAAGGTGTTCAGCTCCAACATCCACATCAAGCCTTTCCTGTCCTGCTTCCCGGAGGTGAGCCCGGCTGCTGTGTGCCCAGGGGTTCCTGCAATGGCTGGAGCGATGAGAATCTTCTCTGCCCCTCACCCTTGTGTCTTGCCCTGCTGCTTGCCAGGTCAGGGTTTACGACCTCACGCAGTACGAGCACTGTCCTGATGATGTTCTGGTCCTGGGCACCGATGGGCTCTGGGACGTCACCAACGACAAGGAGGTGGCTGGTGTTGTGATGGAGGTGCTGACGAGCTATGAGCCCAATGACCCATGCAGGTAAGCTGCGAGTGGGCAGAGGGATGAGTGTGTCCTGCACCCTAACACCGGCCTGGTCTCACTGCTGAGCCGTGCTGTGCTCTGCCCCCAGGTACACCATGGTGGCCCAGGAGCTGGTGGTGCGTTCCAGGGGGGTGCTGAAGGAGCGGGGCTGGCGGCTGGCTAATGACAAACTGGGCTCTGGCGATGACATCTCTGTCTTTGTGATCCCTCTGGGCGGCCCAGGCAACTACACGTGATGCTCAATGACCCCGGGGCAGCATGGATGGAGATGAGCAGGACACTGATGCTGCCTTGGGGCCACCTCTCCCCCAAGCACTTGTTTCCTGAGCCAACTGTGAGAAGAGTAAGAAACCTGGAGCCTCTTTCTGTGCCCCTGCTTAGAGCATCCCTTTCCACCTGTGTGAGCCCAGCCCTGGGCAGAGGCTGGCACTAGTGTGAAGGGATGGTTTTTGTGCTGCCACTTTCTTCATTGCTGTGAAGAACCAAAAGGCTCCCTGGCTTCTCAGGGCATCCTTTGCACCTCACCCTCGATGTGCTGGTTCCAGCAGCGTGCAGTGGCCCTTGGGCTGGTGGAGTGCTTGTACCTGGAGAAGTGTGTGCCTGCTGCAATCCTGTGATGCTGAAGCTGCTGTTGTGGCTGGGATGGGCTGTGGTGGGTGAAGCTCTGCTAAAGGCAATGCTTGGTGCTGTTGTGGGTGGTGTGGCAGTGGACAAGCCACACAACTCATCCCAGCTTTGTGCTTGCCCTCTCCAGCCCCTCACATGTTCATCCCAGCCACGTACCTTGTCTTAGTCACTGGTGTGGGAGGATAGGACTGTGCTCCATCACTGCAGTGCACAAAGAGCCCCTAGGAAGGAATAAGCTATTGCACTGGCTGGGCTACGGGTTCTGCTTCCACCCCTCTTCATGCCTTGGGTCACTGCTGTGTTTCTGGAGCCAATTATTTATTGTTAAGTGGAGAGCTGAGCTGGAAAATGTCTGAATCTTCTTGGTGTGGGGAGATTGTATGAATATATGTCTATATTTTTGAGCAGTTCTACGTTGGCCACTGCTGAGCTGCAGTTGGCTACAGAGCAGACCCATTCAGGTGAGCTTAACTGCTGCGTGGATCTGCTTAGCTGAGGGCTGGAAGCCCACAATAAAAGCAGCTTGGTTGTGACTGAAAGGGGGGAAAGACAACTCCATCCTTTTCCTTAATAATCTCCAAGCTGGCACTGAGCAGAGCTGGCAGCAGTGGCTGATCCCTCACAGGGTCTTACTTTGAATTGCACAACCTTTATCCTGGAGGATGCATTTCCTGGACCTCTCAGAGCTTTGCATCCTCCCATCACAGGAAGAATGCTTCCTCCCGGCAGCGTGGTGGTGGGGAGGGCAGGGCTATGGTCCTTTGGCTTGGCAAGGCTCTGTGGCACCAGGAGTTTGTGTCCTGCTGCTGCTGGGTGCAGCCAGCTCTTGTCACATGTCACCCCTGGCAAATGTTGTTTGTTTCCTGTATTCGGGTGTAAATAAACTGGATGCACTTAATGGGAAGTGAAAGTTATCCAGTGAGATTTTAACCTATTGCCATCTGTGCTGAAGGGAGCAGGAAGGGGTACTGAGGCTGGGAGCCTGTCCTGGTGTAGCAGTGTTTAAATAAAGGTTTTGCCACTTGCAGCCCCACTTCAAACTCTCTCTTGCAGAGCTCCTGCAGCAAAGACTTACCTAAAAGCCAATTAGCCCTGATTAATTGGTGTAGGCAGGCTTGGCAGCAGCTAGACCCAGGCAGAGCCATGTGAGCTGCTGTCCCTCTGCCCTTGGCACTGCACAGGTCCCATGGGAGCGGGAACCCCACTGTGGGGTCAGAGCAACCTGGGGCTGGCCAGTCTGGTGGGGAAGGCTTGCAGGATCGGTCAGTGACCCAAAACGGGACCTGGCTGGTGAGTGCTGTGTTGGGCTTGGATAACATTGAAAAACAGGAGGCAGGAGCCTGCTTTTCCTCCCTGCTGCAGGCAGCGCCTGGGTATAGACAAGGGAATGGAGGGAAGGAGAAACTGATGGTTTCCCTGCTGACAGCCTGTGGTGGGTGAGGGGACATGAAACCCCC